CTGGGGCCGGTGCCCAGGAGGAGCAGGAACAAAGGGTGTGCTACCAGAACCTGGCTCACCCGGTGGCCTCGGTACAGGAGCCAGAGGCAGTGACTGCAGCCTCAGCCCCAGCTTCAGCCAAGGCCTCAGGGACTGAGAGTGAGTCTCTGTGTGAGGAGACCAATCACGCACTGCAGGGAGCCATAGAGAAGCTGCAGGTGAGTCCTGGCACAGGCCAAGAAGGGTGGGGGTGGGGCAGGTCACTGCTGAGAGGTGACCCCATTATTTGTACTTCAGAGCGGCTTTAGCACCCTCCGAAAGGAGAAGGTGGACCTGAAGGAGCGGGTGGAGAAACTAGAGCTTCTATTCATCAGGCTCTCTGAAGAGACAGACACGATGAGTGAGCAGGGGACCAGGGCATGGCAGGAGGAGCTACAGGGTGGTCTGAGTGTCCCCGGCGTCTGAGCCTGTCTGAGCCCTGTCCTCTTGTAGGAAAGAACATCAAATCATATGAGCCGCAGAGGGCAGTCCCAAAGCCCCGTCACCAGGAGGAGGGGGAAAAGCGGGAGGTGAAGGTGAGGCGAGCAGCATCTCTGTGGGGCTGAGGGGGTTGAGAGTGGGCATGGGCATGGCTGCTGGCACCAGCGTGGCAGCTAAGCACCCCTGTCTCCAGCTGCAGCTGCAGGAGCCAGTGTTTCCAATTCTGGGTGACAACGAGGGCCATGCCAAATTCCTGGCCACTGCCAAGAACCATGTTGATGAGCCAGCTCAAGGGGCCCCAGCACCCCAGGGGCTTTGGACAGTCAACAAACAGGGAGGTGAGTGGAGCCCTCAGGCAGGGTGGGCAGGCAGGGGCAGGGGTGACTCACCCTGTGCTGAGATCCCCACCTCCCTCTCTCCAAAGATCTTTGTGAGGTCAGCCTTGCACACAGCATGGAGCCTGCAAGATACGCCTGGGAGCGATCTCCCCAGGGCAACCCCACTGTAGGACACATCGTGCCACCGCTTCGTGAAATGAAGACCTTCCAGGAGCACCCAGGCTTGGGCCAGAACTCCTACGTGCCATTGTATTACCAGGCTGCCAAGAACAGGGAGATCAGCATCACCATCTTCTAAGAGCTTGGCAAGAAACTTAAACACCAAAACAAAGTTCTGGGGTTAATCTACACAGTTCATTAACTTTATTTAGATGTTAGAGCCACTTATGTTTATTTGTGTTTCTATTTCATAAATTTGTTTGTTTATAAATTTAGCATTATTGTTAATTCAGCATTTTTCTGTTTTGATAATGGTACGTCAATAGCATGCATATCGAGTTTGGCCTTACGTGCTGGGAGTTCTAACACACAAGGACCCACTCTTTGCACCAAACACTTTTTGCTGGTTTGGAATAGGATGCCATGCTTTTTAAATGTTATTGCCGCATGTATACTTCTTACGGAATTCAGATACAATTTATGTTCTGCCATCATAGTTGATCGAATCCCAATCACAGTGAGCTCTGAATTAGCTCAATACGTGCTTTGCCCTCAGGTGTGCACTGTTTGTTACTTTGTAAGATGCCACTAGGAGTGCTGACATCCAGAGCTGCTGAAAGGCCGAGACCTGGAAACAGCCTTTCCCCTGTTTT